CCCCGTTCCCCCCGCTCCTCACCTCCGTGTAGGTGGGCGGCGGCATGAACTTGAACTCGGGGGCGTACATGAAGATGGGGCTGTCGAAGCTGTCGGTGTCGTCCAGGAGGGGCGTGGTGGGGCTCTCCAGGCGGTGGTCTTCAGGGACGATGTCCAGGTAGCACGGGGGGGCTGCAAGGGGACAGAGGGACCGGTGAGCTCACCCATGTACTCCCCCCCCACACACACACAAAACCCCCCCAAACTGGAGGGGAGCTCACAGCGGTGCCCACCCAGGACCCCTCGCGGCGGCCACCGCGCCCCAAAGCGGAGTTTTAGGGGATGTCGGGAACGAGGAGGGGGGGGCGAAGCGTAGCCAGGGAGGGCGGGAGGAGGGGTGCCGGCGCCGGGCGCCGCTCACCTGCAGGAAGTACTCCACGCGCAGGATGTTGCAGCCCAGGATGGAGGGCTTGAGCTTCTTGACGCGGATGGTTTTGCCACGCCAGGACTCGGACATGCCCGAGATGATGTGGTTGCCTCGGACGCAGGAGAGCTTCTGGGTGAAGACCTTGGTCTGCCCGTTGGCCAGGTAGGTGTGCTTGGAGACGATGGCCGCCTTGGGCACCACGATGCGGGAGCAAGTGTTCTCGAAGTCGGCATTGATGCAGATCTCGTCGCCTGGGGAGGGAACCGTGGCGTTAGGACGGTCCGAGCTTTTCCCCCCCGCGGGAAGCTCGTATCAAACCGCTCTCGCGTCTCCGATGCTCCCCCTCTGCTTGTCCCCCCACCCCCTGATGGCGGGCAGGCTCTCACCTTCGCAAAAGCCTTTCCTGTCGATCTGAGCGCTGACCGACACGCGTCCGTCGGGGATGAACATACAGGACACCTTCTTCTCCTTCTTGGCAGCAACCGGGGACTGTGGGGAGACAGGACGGTCACGCAGGGGAAAGGGGCCCAGTCTCCCCCCCCTCCCTCCTTCCTTCCTCTCTTGGCCCAACAGGAGCTTCAAGCTCCCCACGAGGCTCGAGCATGGTGCAGCCAAGGAAAGCAGGACGAGCGCCTCGCTTTCTCCCGCTGTCGCTTTCTAGAAGTAACCAGGGCTCCTTAACAGCTAAGTAGTTAATCCGCGCTCAGCAATAAAGCCTATTAGGGGAGGCTTAGCAGCAGAGGTCAGACTGACCCTCCCCACGGGCCCTTCCCTCTCCCCACGCCTGCCAACACCCAGCCCCGGTGAAGCGAAGCAGCACCCACCAGCAATTCCGGCGTGTTCACGTCGACAGGATCCATCACCTCGAAGCGCTGCTTGATCTCCTGGGTGGGAAAGGACGGGCGCTCCAGGAAAGCCTTCACCCAGTAATCAACGCAGCCGTACTTTCCCTTGAAGGTGGTACCCAGCGGCCTGCGGGGAGAGACGCCTGTCAGGCACCCCTGAAGCAACAGGAGAACTCCCCGTAGCCGGCCGATGTAGTTTTGTTTCAAGAGGCAGCGTTCATCTCGTACTCACCCCTGGGGAAGCTCGAATCCGAATTTGTACTCGTATTTGTTTCCAGGTCTGAGGATTACGGAGCCGTCCCCATCTGGGAAAACAAAAAGGGGAAGGGAAGCGTCAGCTCCGAGGGTTTGTCCTTAAGCATTATCCTCTCTTCTGCTTACACAGGCGGTGACGAAGCCGAGCGCTGCGTGAGCTGGAGCTGCCTCAGCTCCTCGCTAAGAGTCGCCTCCACCCGCCCCCCAAGAACAGCCCGAGAACTCAGCATCTCCTCGAGGCAGGGAAGCGCCGCGCGTTTACAATCTCACTTCTCCTTTCAACGTCCCCATCCGAAGCCGGAACACTGTGTCCCAATGCGCTTCGGTCGCCCTTCCCTCTCCTCCCCACACCCCACTTCCACTTTGTGGGAGTACAGAGCACCCACTTCTCCCCCCC